GTCTATCGCCTTTATCACTGACGACATCATTTCTCACTTCTTTTCCGAATTCGCTGAAGTACCTGGGATCCGTGCTTTTTGCTCTTCCTTTTCGCTTTTTCTGGCCTAACCGAGAAATTTCTACTTTTTATCTCATCTTGCTGATTTTAAAGGATGCATGGGCGGCTAATTCATCTTTTCTTGGGGTGGAGTTAAACAGGCTATCACGCGCAGCCTCATCATTTGCTTTCCACCTTATCTCTAACACATTAGGTGATTGACTTAAAGCAACGCTAAACCACATGGGATATCGCAGCCTACCTACCCTAAGAGCTCGCGTCAGCTGCTGTGAGATTGAACCGCCTATAACCCTAATCTCATTTGAGATTTCCGACGATTTTTTATCCATTAATCTAACTTCCCAGGAAACACAGTAGCAGCTTCGTCTCCCATACTTACACCAGCTCTAATCACAGTATTAAAAGTCTCAGCCCAATTTCTCCCATAGCCAAAACACCCATAATGGTTCCGCTTACCATCACCTCTGTAACCGGTATTCAAGGTTAAGTGCCTGCATATTGTGTCGAGAACAACTACTTGTGAAAAAGCGAGGATTTCGATAGTGATTACGACTGCAAGTTTCTACGGGGCCCACAACCACATTACGCTTACTAGTGAAATTCAGTCCGACCTACGCCTTTTGCCGGACAACTTAATTTCCCCACTTTTTTCGAGCTTATACGCCAGCGGATTATGCTTTGAAAATTCCAGTGCTCCTCTTGTCTTACTTTGTATCCTTTGCTCGATAAAGATGCTACGGGAATCATTCTAAATGCTGATATTATTCGAGCTCATCACTGCTGCTGAGGCTATATCAAAACTTGATTTTTCTTCAAATTCGTCTACCCTCGTTAACTCGGTCTGTCAGCCATCACATCCCGCTGCGCTGATTCTTCATAGGCAGTCTAGTGATACACAATGCTACGCACAGCACTACTCTTAATCCCTATAGATCTTACAATGATTTCTGAGAGCGACCAGTTTTATCTCCAGCAACTTAACATATCCACGATCTGTTTTCCAGTCTTGGGAAATCCGTGTATCTTCCTAATCCAGCAGTCGAACATCGGGCTCATTTTCCCCGTTCCCCATGACCCCGAATCACCGGGTGCGTCACGAACGACTCCCATTCGTTAGCAGGGAGGAATAAAGTATTGGGGTCTGTAAGCCAGATACCTGATTTCGGCCACTATTTATTCCTCTGTGCATCTTCCCGCACATGCTGGCATTAATTGCAGCAGGCTACCATCGTAACAACCTGGTTATTCCTGTTGCTGCATCATTATCATCAACTGCAGTACATGAGCCATTTGAACTGATGCTTCGTTGCCATTCAGCCATGATGACCTAAGGAGTAAGGAAAGAATAAGGATAATAAGAAGGGGGACTTACCTCAAAACCTTAACACCGTAAGCAAACATTCAGGGTCAAGATGCCTGCACCTTGTGTTAACAACATACCGTCATAAACAGCCGGCTATCGTGCAAAGATAAGGCGGCATCGGCGAGACTGCTTCCTTGCGGCTTTCACTGCCACGCGTCATAATCCGCCATTACCCCGCAGATAACAGCACTAAATACACTTTAAACAGGCAATCCGATTAGGAGACGGCAGCAGACACGCCACTGGTGTCGCTTGCGAGCCATATTCTGTAGTCTCGAGCCAAGCACAAGGCGAATCACGTGGACTCCAACCCGGAAGGCGAGACGGACCAACAGCGCAACTTATTCAGTGATATCTGTTGTTCTAGGGAGCTAGCATGATCCTCAATACCTAGCACTCGCCTACGCACATCATCGTTCCGGACACGCTGGTGCCATCCGACACCAGCCATGCTTCGCAGACAACGATGGTCAAAGACTTGAAGGTGCCTCAGATCTTCAGACCGAAGGGGCCAGGTCTCACTCCCATAGAGCAGAACGGCCTTCACTGTGGCCTTGTATACACGGCCTTTCAGACGAAGGGAAACTCCCTTATGTCGTCAAAGATGCCGTAGGTTCAAGAAGGCAGATCTGGCTTTTGCAATGCGTGAACTGACCTCAGTTTTCATGCGCCTATCGTTCCTGATGCAGCTGCCAAGATAAGTGAATCGATCAACCACCTCGAGTTCCTCGTTAGCAAGGGTCAAAGGGTCATAAAGTGGCCAGTGGTCCTGCAGCAACACTTTGCACTTTGAAGGCGCAAAGTACATGCCAAATAGTGCGTCCACCGTAGACAGGATATTCAGAGTTGATTGTGCCGCCACAACATCGTCGAGAAGCAAGACGATATCGTCTGCATAAACAAGATCAATTAACCTTTCACCAGGCATGACCTAAATGCGTGAGATTCCTCAAGGGAACACTGCATGATAGAGTCCACGACGAAATTGAACAGAAACGGGGAAATCGGACAACCCTGATGAACGCCACTTGTGGTCGGAAATCTGTCCAACAGGTCACCGTAGACCCTGATGCGGCCTGTAGTGTTCGAGTATAGATGTTCACATAAGATGTTCACATATTTCGTAGGAACACATTGCTGCGCAAGTAGTTAAAACATCATGCATTGATCGACTGAATCGAAAACACTCTTGAAATCGAGGAACACAGCTATTGTCGGTCTGTGGTATGCGTGGCACTGCTCTAGCACCTGCCGCAAAGTGAATATATGGTCTATACAGCCACGTCCTGGGCGGAAACCTGCCTGCTCTTCTCGTTCCACAGTGAGGCGACGAACGAGAATCGACGCCAGTAATTTTGTCACAAGTGACGTTAGGCTAATACCCCTGTGGTTAGAACAGTCTGTGCGATTGCCCTTCTTGTATATTGCTACTATAATCGGTTTGCTATAGTTAACCTGGACACCTTTCCAGATACGTTAGAATAGGGAGGTCAATGCTTTGCAGAGGACCTCACCTCCATCCTTAAGTATTGCAGGTGGGAGGTAATCTGGGACAGCGGCACGAAAACGATTGAGAGCTGTGACCGCGTTTCGGACCTCGATCTCCGACGGAGGCTCTAAACTAACCGTCCATGGCTCGTCCTGCATCACCTGAGTAAGAAGAGGTCCGGGAGCAGGGGGCCAGCTAAATTGATCTTGAAAGTGCTCCGTCCATCGAGCCATACGGCGCTCCTTAGTGTGTATCAGTTCACCCACGCGGTCCCTGATTGTCTCACTGACGTCTGGTTTCCTGCGACCAGTGGTTCGGATCAGCAGGAAGAGCTTGCGGTAAGTGCCTACCGCTCCTGCCTCCTCCATTTCTTGAGCCCGACTGGTCCACCAGGCTTCCTTGTCAGCACGTGGGCCTCGCTTTAGTTCGCGTCTAACAACCCATCTGGTCACATTGTGCTCAGAGCCAGCCGGTAGGTTTCTTATGGATTCCAAGAGGTTTACCGACCTCTCGGATATCCAGTGACTGGTGCGGTGATGATTGATAGTGCCACAAGTAAAATGCTCATGCGTCGTGCATGGCGGCAGAGATCCTATTCCACTGAACCTCAGTCTCATTAGAACAAGATAGCGAAAGTTCGGTATGCAGTGTGTTTTGATAAGCTTGCCTGACCTAGGGCTGAGACAATTTCTCAGTTGCCAATTGGAGGGAACGCTTGGTGCGCCTCCTGGTAAAATTCATGGAGAAACGACAGCGTACCAAGGCATGATCAGAGTCGACGCAGGTATTCCAGTACGAGCGGCAATCCAGGATGGAACCACGCCACCTGTAACCTACGGCTATGTGGTCAATTTGTGTCCATCGCTGGGCAGCTACAGGGGGACGCCAAGTGGCAGTTCGGCGCCCACTGTGTCTAAAAGCAATGCGACTAAGGAACAACTGGTGCTCCGCACACAATTGCAGCAGACGCTCGCCGCTGTCAGTCCGTTCGGAGTTAAGCCCATAATTACCACCCAGATGAGCTTCTGAAGAGCTCAGACGTCCTACTTGTGCCTTCATATCCCCTGCAAGTACTATAATATCTGAACTAGTAGCACTGCGTGGTAGCGCGCTCAGTTCGTGATAGAATGTGTCCTTGACAGCATTTGAACTGCAGTCTGTGGGAACATAAGCGGAAATCACAAGCAAACAACGATTTGTACTACTTCTTGAATCAATCTTGGCTGATATCCTAAAACGTGCTGCACGTAAACTGCTGTTCACTGGAATCCAATCGACTAACGATGGCCCAGTCTTGAAGCTTAGAATGATACCTACACCAGCTTGACCCGTGAGTACCGCATCGGCGTCTTCGGATGCGTGCAACAAATAACAAGAGGACAAGCCGGGTGCAGTTAGTTCAACAATCCCATTAGGGTCATTGATCCCAGTTTCGGACACACAACATACATCAATACCCAGTGTGAGTGCGAGTGCAGCCAGTTGACCTACTTGTCTTAGAGTGCGAACATTGAACGTTGCCATGGAAACGGGACGGCGTGGCCTTATAAGGGACTGTTGCCGATAGGCGTCCGGTGCGTATCATGAGAAGGGGGCTGCAGATGGTTTTACTTCAGTGGCATTTCAGTTGCTGTCAATTAAGCTTGGCATTATAAAAGGAAGGTTAGTAATGGCGATCGGGATGGGAGTAAGAGAAACAGGTGGAAAAGAGAGAAGGGAGGCGCCAGCAGTAGCACGTTTTCGCATATCCGCACTGCTGTATGCAGCAGATAAGGCGACCCTTGATAATCTGCGTGACGGCCGATGCATGATGAAGTTTATGTTTGAAGAAAAAGTCATGGTTGTATATGAGCTGGGATACTGCCTGTGCGCGCAGAGCTTGACAGTTACTGCAATTATTGATCTTTTGTTAGCTCTTTCTTACTTTTCCTTTACAGTTTGCCGTTGTCGTCATGTATGTTTGAGTCGTACTTTTCTCGTCTTCACAGTAACGGCATCTTGATTTCCTTAGTGTGATTTGTGTGGCAACCTTTTGTTCCTCCATTTTAGCAACTTGGACCAGTACGCGTTGTATTACCCCGTCTTCCTCTGCTTGCTTGCCCCTATCGCGTCTGCACATTGGATTTTGTCGGTGACCTGACAATGCAGAATTGCCCACTGGTCATCGACGGACTTACAGGTACAGATCTACTGGTTGCCTCTATTTTTCTTGGACTTCATGTTAGCTCGTTCTGTTGATCCCGTACAAGATCTCAGATCTCTTTTAGTTATTCATTTGCATTTCCGCTTGACCTTTTTCTCCCATATCTCTCTTAATTAGTCCAGCTGTTTAACCATTTTTGTACTATTCGATATGGGAAGAGTTTAAGCTCCACGCAGTCTAGGTGGTCATTTTTGACATGCCTACCAGTGCCCCACTTGGCCGGCACGAGTCATATTTGATCTTTTCACTGCGATTGATATACTTTGTCCTTTATACTCGCAGCATAGCTAATTACATTCAAATATCAAGCACCCAAATCTTTTAAAGTAACTCTCAATTGTTCTCCAAACTGTTTCCATGACAATTCACTTACCCACCCCCATCTTGCCTTCTCCTTACTTATTGCATCATCGGACTCTTTAATGTAAACCTTGTCAATAAAACGCAGTTACAACTGCGTGTACTTTGTCATCACATAGAATGCGAAAATTGTCATTTCTTTTAAGCACTTACAAGGCTTTCAAACGACGTCGATACGTGCACGTCGTGCTCCTTCGAGGGCTGGACTCATTTCGAGTTCTTTTTTACGTCATTTTCTGTGCAACTTTATATTTCTACTCTGACTACTGCCTGCTATGTGATTATTGCCTTATCTACATTGACAGCCTAGTAGTTGCAGTATGTGCAAAGTGTTTCACGAACATGTAACTTTGTTCGTGCCTCGTCTGTTAACTTCACAAACAAGTTCGCTAGCGACCAGCGCTTGCATGGTGTTTCCTGTGGCAATCATGCAATTCTCATTGACGATTAACAGATGGTTAGCATAACAAGATGGACCATTTGCTTGTCGTACCGACTGTACTGTCGATTCATCTCACTTCGGCTTGGTTTCTTGTCTACAATCCATCTATTGATGTGCGGTAGGTACAGCTGCGATTACACGTCGCAAACACACAGCAGCAGCAGCAGCAGCAGCAGCAACAACAACAACAACAACAGCAGCAGCAACAAATGCGGCTACCATAAATAACAGTAGCAGCAACACTGATAGTGCAAAGGGAATAACCAAGCGATGTAATCCCCACACAATGTGGCTGTGAGTAAGAGATAAGGGAACGAATGCAGGATCCTCACTGACTTCGCGATTCCGCCTTTCGTTGGGTTTCTTCATGGATTTTTACCAAATCACTGATCGACCACCTCGGAGTTTCACCCAAATGGGTATGGTATGGGAAAATGACACTCCGAAACAGCCTGCTCGTTATTATGCGGAACACACGACCGAGCCAACGAACGCGATGGATATTCAACAGGCATTCTACTAAAGCACCTGATGGCGAACTACAGCGTTACTCGGTTCTGCCACCATACATGAGCACCACTGTGAAGTATCGGCTAAAAGTGACCACTGCGCTAGTATCCACAGGACGCATCATCCATGTCTCTGCATTGTAGAGCAGCATTACAATCCCTTCCCTTAACCACAATTTATCTCTCATCCATCACGTGACGTGCGTGTCTACTTCTCCTTGGCTGGCGAAACTCATCTGTTCATCAGGGCAGTTGGCCCAATTCTTCTGGTACGCGAATGTTCCTGAGTTAAGCTATAACTATTCGCTAATTTTCATACTGCCCGTTTCGGTAGTTGCTTCTCTAACACGCTTTTGTTTCGATGCGTTGCTTTTTGATTGGATTTGAGCTTGCAGGGGACGGGATCACCAAGGGGTCACATGGAAAGCCTTCGTCGTTAGCCGAAGATGAGAAACACACCTCAGCTAATGTGCCGTAATCAGAAAAAGATTAAACAATACAGACTAAAAAAAACATAAAACGTAACATAATGCTGGATATCACATTATGCATAGGGCTTGCGATCGTTGTTGAAGCTGGAAGGTAAAGGAAAGGGGAGAGCCAAGGAGACTCACAACACAAACGCCACTGAGGTCGGCTCTACCTCATGCCAACTAGAGTATCCAACCAGACTTGTTCATCGTTCTTCGGTTCCCAGCCCAGTAGTCGGGAAACACCAACCGACGCCAAGTTCGAAGTGAGGGACTTCATTCCTCTCGACCAGGTCATCGCTTGGAAAAAGGCAGATCTAATGACGTTGAATGCGATCCATTTTCTCATTCGGTTCACCCACTTCGTTCGTCAATTGCAATTAACGGTGATACTGTTAATTCGCAGGTTACGCATCCATTTACTGATCGAGCACCTTTGAAGTTGAGGCTCTGATGGCTCGGCCACGTGTTTTGCATTCCAACCCACCGCGTCGTGCGTTGTTTGCGCGCTGTGGGTGTGGACGGTAAAAGAGGGGTGGCCAAGCGATGACTTAGTCGAGAGGCATGTGGTCCCTCACTTCGAACTTGGCATCGAATAGTGCATCATGACTGCCGTGCGGTGGTCCAGAGGACAATGACCACGTCTGGTTGGATACACTAGCTGATATGGCGTAAAGCCTGCCCCAATGACGGTTGTGTTGTGAGTTTCTTTGTCCATCTCCCTCGCCTTTTGATTCCCCCCAAATTACGTTCTCATTCCAAATTCATAATATGATATTTAACATTATATTACCTGCTTATTGAACATTTTTGTATTCCGTAATTTTGATTATCTTATCATTTTAGTACTGCAGTACATTAGCTGAGGTGTTTCTCACTCTCGGCTAACATGTATTGATGATGATGACGACGATAGGTCCTGCTTCAGCCGCAGTGTCACACTTGTTATCTTTACCGACTTGAATAGCGAAAACAAAGCGAAGCACCTGTGTCTATTAATAGTGAGGATGTGAGATGAGGCCACATCTTCCACTGGCGCAAGGGGAGTGCGCTCCCAACTGGCATACTTTATGTCTGCCATTAAAGAAGATGTGGAGTAATGAACATCAGCGGTATACGTGTATCCAATGGTTCCGCCCGTCTTGGACAGTATTATGCAATCCGGCCATATGTCGGAGGCGCCTTAACTAGGTAGATACTTACGCTTCTTCTCACCGCACTCCACGGGTGGACTGAAGTCGCTTGCTATTGACACTGAGAAGCATACCATTTTATGTGCAAGGTGTCTAACCCTTGTTTGGTATCTGTGCACACTATAATGGGAACAGTCATCGTGTCGATAATTCGATGCCTCGTTGCTATGTACTTCTTATTTGTATGTTGTGACAGTAGATTACTTCCTTAAATCGTTAATCTTCCTCACGGTGCATGCTTCGGAACCTTTATGTGATGTGTCTAAAATGAGGAAGCACCGCCTATGTACATCTGTCAGGATTACTTGTTCGGAATCCTTCTAACCTCAGGTATGGAAAGAACAGGATGCTATCATGTTCGCTTATAACACCGTTAATCCTTTATATTTGATACCCGGCGCTGAAATGCGATTGTATTTTGTCTCAGCTATGACCATGTACGAATTCGCACGTTTGTCAACAAAATCCACTGGAGGAAGAGCAGCTTGATTCGAGCGAGTCTTTATTCATGCACCTCTCCGCTACTTATCGCAACGGTAACTGACGGCATATTTCCAGCAGTATTCGTACGGTTGCGTACTGTAGCTCAGTATCGAATAGTGCTGCCTAGGAATTAGCCACTTGGACCACCCATATATGGAACATGAGGGTGTTATTGAATACCTAATGTCTGGACACAACGGAACATGACAAGCAGAATACAGCAGACACAATGGTGTACAATGTGGTAAGAGATCAGATCGGAGTTGTGTGCGTGTACACTTAAGGTTACGGAGCTATCATACTGAAGTGGATTGAACGAACTGGTGACTGAGCGGATGTCACAGGTCAAGCGTATAAGATGCGCGATCCTACAAGGGTCTCTCCACTAATCGTCACCACAGCATGAGACCTAGAAATAAGCCAAACCGTTACCCTTAGCGATGAGTAGTAATGGTACCAAACGAGTGTGATGGGACCGGTCATCATCAGTACACCAAGTCTTCTGGGGCATAAGCGGAATTGGTGTCGTAGATTTTTTAAAATATTTATTAGTTGCACACAAATGGAAGCCCGTCATCGTCACAATCAAATGCTACCGATCTGGAAGTGGCTTGATAGAACATTTTCTCCACTGCTACCAAACAGTTATCAATACCTTCCCAAATCACTATCAGTGTGTCTATAGCCCTACCGAGCTAGCGTCTCGTCTTCGTCGCTAGACGAGCGACAACCTAGGGCTTAGGGGTCGGGTATACTTGCCATTGTCCCACCGCGATTGGGATCTATCGTGCTGTAAGCACCCAAGGTGCGAACGGAGCTATTTATTGTGGCAAATATCAACAATCATACGCATCAGCCCTTGCCACCAAAAGCTCCACCAGTCTGCGGACTCTCTCCTTTAGATTGCTTGACGCACGTTGCTTCGGTTTCCACTTTTAGTGTACGTATATCTGCGGCTCCCAAGCGTACTTCTGCTGCGCATTACTATGGCCCTATGCTGAGGCTGATGTTGCATTCGAGATGCTTCTTCACTGCAGTTGGTCTAAACCAACTTACACTTTAATTAGGTCTTTTTAAGCTGAATAAATTTTATTCCACCTTATTTGGTTTGTTCAACCTACCTGAATAATATTCTATTAACTTGCACTCATTGCTTACGCTAACTTTGGTTATCTTCGCTAACTATCACATTTGTGGCATATTTTTGAATAACTTGTGGACATTTTGTACTTTTCGCGGATTCGTTGCTAACCAACTTACTTCATATGCTAATTTAGCAAAGAGTTATGTCGGTATAGCCGTCTACTTTAACAGGTATATTTAATTTGATAATGTCATTTCAGGTGATTGACCGTTGTTTGACATCCCCGGTGTGGATGCGCTTGATGTGCATGTTGACAAGGTACCTATCTGTCTATTACCCACTACATCATCCTTATTGGCTCCAGGAGACAGTTGGTTGTCGCTGAGGGGATGGGGTGCGCGGTCGTTGTAGCCGTGTTAGGCTCCAAGTATGTGG